ATTTATGAAGAATGATTTTGCCCATTGGGGTTTTTGCGGAGAAGGTGAAGTAAATTTACTATAAGCCGAAATTAGACCAAGGTGGAGATTTGAAATATGGCCAAATTTTCATGACATTTGCCATGACATAATATCCATTATAACAAATTTGTGGATCATGACATTTACCATGACATAATATCCATTATTAGGCCAAGGATTTCTTGCTATAAATAGAGAATTTTCTCCTCATTTGCAAACACACTAATTCAAGACCTTTTCACTCTTGTCTTTCTTTCTCCTCCTTTATTTCATTATAGAGTATTTTGTAAGAGAGTAAGTGTTGGGAAACACTTGTGTGAACCCTTTCTTTGGAGTGATCTTGTGAGGTTATTCTCTTGGGGTATTTGGGATTAATTAGAGTATTTACTCTAATTTTGTACTCTCTTTTGTACTCTTGTTGGTATAGTGAAATTGCTCCTCTCCGCTTGTGGACGTAGGTCACCTTGACCGAACCACGTTAAATTTATGTCTTCTTTATATTCTTTAATTGCCGTTATTATCACCTTCCATTGTCTTTATACCGTTGTTTGGCTAAATTCCGCACTACCCGGGTTTTCGATCCTAACAGATTCTTTACTGTAGAAGAATATAGCACTTTTATTACAATGTAAGCTTGAGAAAAACTTGTTCTTCAGAAATGGTAACCAGGCCCTTTTATAGTGGAGGGATTTGGCTCTAAGCATAATAAAATAAACATTCAATGGGAGACCTATGATAAGTCAGCTTTTCCATAATTTCTGCTAAGATTCTCTCTAGTGGGATTGCAACGGCTTTTGTCTGCGAGCTCGATCTTGCTTAGAACCCTCGATTTTGGTTTGAGCTTGATTTCGGCTCGAACTCGTGATCTTGGTTCGAGCCCGATCGTGGCTCGAGCCTTCGAATTGATTCGAGGTCAATGTTGGTTGGTCTCTGGATCATCAGTATGATAGATCTACTCTGCATCATGGTTCGATTTCGATTCGAGCTTGATGATGATATCGAACTCGACACGGATTAGCCTCCCCGGGTTCGAGGTCAGTTTGTTCCACCTTAGGGGTCTTACTTCGATAGATCATCCTTCGAACTCGATCGGATGTGCTAAGGCCGAAATCTATTTCGACCGTATACATAAAGTAAGCACGACTTTAAGGGATCAGGTAAATGGTCATAACTTAATGCTATTACCTTCATCACGTCCACTTCATTCTGGAAAATGAAGGAATGCAAATTATTAAGAACTTCAAGCCAAACAGTCTTTTTCTTTTCCTTCTCAGCAATGACTCTAGCAATTAGATTAACCACCAAAGGAAGCCCTTTACAATTTTGGACTATTTCTTTTCCAACATCCAGTAGTTCATCAGGGCAACTTCTATTTTCAAAGATCCTTTTCTCTATTAACTCCCAACTTTCTTCTGGTCTTAGCAATCGAAGGTCAAGAGGATCACTGTGGCATTGTGCATGCAAAGCCACTTTCTTATCTCGAGTTGTCAAAGTAATTCTACTTCCTTTCTTAGCTTCAGGAAAAGGTCTTGTTAACTCATCCCATGCTGCAGTATCCCACAAGTCATCTAAGACGATAAGGAACCTCTTTCCAAACAGATGTTTCCGTAGCTCAGTAGCAACATCAATATTATCTCTGTATTTTGAAGCTGAGCCAGTAACTTGATTAAAAATGTCTGCCAACAACTTCTTCTCGTCATATTTTTGATCAACTGTACACCATGAACGAATGTCGAAATGACTAGAAACTGACTTATCATTATACACTTTGTACGCCAAAGTAGTTTTACCCGAACCCGGTGTACCAGTGATCGAAATGACATCTAGCATTTTCGGTCCACTGGTGAGCTTGTTAATAATCAAATCTGTCTCCTCTTTATAACCTACGATTGTTTGAGCAGTTGTCAAAGATTTCCTTTCAACATACTTGGTGGGAGACTTCACAACAATGAGGCCCTTGTTCTTTGGAATCTTCTCAAGTAAATTAGGGACCTCTTCTTTGGAAAGCTTGATTTGTTTTACGACAAAAGGAAGTGAGAAAATAAGATTTAAGAGACCATTATCTCGTACAATAATTGAATCAATGAGATCTTTTGCTTCATATGCTAAATCTAGAACACGTGCCCATAGATCTTTATACAATTCTTGCTCAACATTTATCAAAAAAGATCTTATGAATTCTATATCTTCTTTCACTAGCTTAATTTCTTCCTTTATCAATGCAGCTGAATAAGCATTGGAATTGAGCAAATCATTCAAGTGTCTGAGTAGAAGATGCATAAAGAGGGATCCATCATTCATTGGGAAGCAGAGTTGAGACGAGTCTGGGGCTTTTAAGTAAATATGTTTGAGATCTCCTTTCATGAGTTCAATATTTTCCATCAAGTCCAAAGTTGCATGGTTTTTTCCATTGGTACTCTCTTCATTTCTTGAATTTTCTTCTAAGTCGCGAACAAGAGTTAATACCTCCCTGATAAGTTCTCCAACATGTGCCAAGAGATCAAACAATTTGTCATGATGAATAAACTCCTTGGGCATATTAGTAAGAACGATTAATAGGAACTCTATCATGACATGAATGTTTCGAGCCCCTGAAGTGTTAGCGGTAATTACATTCACCATGTGCTCTTGTAGATGAATCAAATATCCCCTAAGAATGTCTGGATAGGTTTCTAGGAGCTGCTTAATGAAGCATCCAACTTCTCTTGACGCTGAAGCCCTCAAATTGGTATAACATATGTGCATAACATGCAGTTCAATTGGAACAATCTTCAATTGATGGAAATATCTTATGTTGCCACATACATTCTGAAGAATTTCATATTCAGTCACTGATGGAAAAACCTGTTCAGCTGATACAATCATCCATACTATCCATGAAGCAGGGAAGGACTGATCGAAGCAGAGCTCTTAGCCTGTGTCCTTTGCGAGTCATTACATCTTCAAACTGCTTTAAATCGGAATAAGAAAGCTGGACATATATACAAATAAATGCCAGCTCCAATTTCAGCATTTCAATTATATCCAAGTCAAGAGCTATTTCTATTTGACTTTCTTCATACTTGAAGCTCTCTATGAAATCCAGAACATTGACAATGTCCTCCTTGCGAAGAGCAGAAAATGACACCTGCCGAAAAGACCAAACGTTATTTGCTATTTCTTTAAAATCACTGTTAAATTCTTTCCCATTACTTGAATTGAACTCCGTAGAGAATAGCAAGAAACCAAGTATAAGCAATAAAAGTTACTCCTAATCAATTTAATAAAAGGAGAAGTTTAGGCCCTAGGTTACAGTTCAACCATAGGAACTATATTCCATTATTCTTTTAGTTATTTAAATTTAATCGATTTTTATCCATTAATTTAATTATATAATTCTTTCGACTGACTGCACGTGAATAATTAAAATTCACTAATAATGTAAGAAGATCTTTCGAACATTTGTATAATATTATTGTAGTCAACATTAGTTTTAATACGTATAAATATATATTGAATGACATACCTCAAATTTGTTTGCTAATTCCCCTTTCTCTCTTTCTCCTTCAATTTCATTTCCTCTTTCCATGATCGTATTAATTTTTCCCTTCCCTTTCCTTTCAAGTTCTCAAGATCTGATGTATAAAAAATACATAAAAAGTATATAAAACATTATCAGGAGAAAGAAGAGGAAGAAGTAAGAATACAAAGAAACTGAAGAAAGAAGCATAAAAAGTCATTGCAGAAAACATTTTTGAAGATATATAGCCATACATAAATTTTCAGTTAAACAAACTTTTTAAAGTTATTTGATACTAATTGACTAACCTTTTTAGTTGATGTTGACGACTGAAAAATCTGAGATATATGGCTTAAGAATGAGGCAACAGATATATGGCTTAGAGATAAGAAGTTTGAAAATTCGTTTGGAGGAGAAGAGGTAAGGGAATAAGGGCACCACATCATTAATGACAAAAAGATGGTTGGACACCAAATTTGAAATACTCTCTTAGTTTCTTTAATTTGTTAGGATGAGCAGTATTGATATATTTACTCCCTCTGTCCCATTTTATTTGGTAGTATTTGACTCGTCACGAAGTTTAAGAAAGAAAATAGTAAGATTTTTAAAAAAATTTGTAATCTTAAATAAATCATAGATATTTGTGTAGATGTAATCAATTCATTGTTTTTAAATAAGAAAAGATAATATATTTTTTAGACTAACTAAAAAAAAAGGGTGCCGCATAAAATGGGAGGGAGGAAGTAATAAACTCTTGCTGTAAAATTTAATAGGAACTAGGAAGATTTAAGGAGAATTATAGTTTGAGGTGCAATATTTTTAGAGTTTCTGCTATTTTGATCTATTTCTTGTGGCTAGTATTGTATTTTGCGCTGCAGTTTCTACTATTTGTCCTATTTTTTTATGTGATGCAGTTTTTGGCGTTATAATTTCTGGAATGTTACAAGACTTTCCTACTGTTTCTATTTACATCTTCTTTTTATCAAAGGTCCTGCTAAATCTAACGAACTGAGTTTCTTAAATATTTTTACAGAGACCAAACATGCTCAATTTTGGCAAACCTAAGGTAGCAAAACTATTCAGGAATATAAGCTTATAACCACTTCACAACTTTTCACCTCATGAGTTAACTTTTGTGATCAAAGTCTTTGTGATAAAGTAGTTCACAACCTTCACTTAATATATAAATATTTGGATTTAAATTAGGTGGGTATGTGACACTAAGCTGGAGAGATCAAATTAAAGAGGAAAAAGAAATTGTCGGTGGTGAGAATGCTGAAACTTATCAGTGTGAATACAAAGAAAACAGTAAAGAAAAAGTAAAGACAAAGAATGACAAATTGATCGATAACAATGTAACAGTAGGGCACCAATCATGATTTTTGAAATTTCTAGTCTTAAGCATGTCATGCATATTGGTCAAGGATAAACGAGAAGTTTAAAATAAATGATTTCATAACAAAAAAATGTAATTTTGTATTAAACATACTAAAAACGAATGCTACATAATTTTCTTTTTAGAGCGGACCTAAGGAATACAGTACAAATCAAAAGCAATACAATACTATTGCAATAGTCAATCAAACAAATCATTAAGAAGAAACAGGCAGATGACCAAGCTATAATGAATTCTCTCAATAGATTAAGAGAATCAAGTAACTTCTAACCAATATGGCATCTAAATTCCTAAGCAAGTTAAGGTCGACAATATGAATTATCAATTTAAACTTGTTTTAAGGGCCTTTTGGATTTATTGAGATTAAAATATTCGAATCTGAATACACATTTAAATATGAAAATATATTTAGATTTGAATACTGAATAATTAAGAATTATTTTTTTCTCAATATCTGAATGTTTATAATTATTGGTACTAAAGTTAATAATATAAAATTCAATCAAAGTAATGCAAATATTGTATCCACAATATTATTAGTTCATAGGGTGATGGTTGATGGTGGCTCATGTCAAGAGGTACTTTGATTATTCTCGAGTGGAAGTGGAGGATGATCATGGAATTTATGCATTGAAGCATCTTGCACATGGGGTGACCGTTTCTAGAGCCCGGGACCAAATTGTGGTCTTTTTGGACTCAAACGATTAAAATATGTGGAAAAAATAACTGACTACCATTTTATATATAGCGCGGTAAATTATCGCGCTATACCTTAACGGACACTATACCTTAACGACACATTTGTCCGTTAAGGTATAGCGCATGTAATAGATGCGCTATACTCAATTTTTATATTTATTAATGCATAGCGCATAAATGATTTGCGTTATCCATCCGTGGCATATCTTATTGAGTTTTACAAAAATAAGAAAGAGGTAATCATAGGACATATTCCACGGATGGATAACGCATATCATTTATGCGCTATACATTAATAACCGTAAAGATTGAGTATAGAGCATATATTACATGCGCTATACCTTAACGGACAAACGTGCCGTTAAAGTATAGTGCGGTAAATACTATATATAAGATGGTGGTCAATTATTTTTTCCATTTATTTTGATCGTTTGAGTTCAAAAAGACCACAATTTGGTCCCGGGCTCCAGTTTCTATCATATCTGACAGAGGTGCACAATTTACAATCCAGTTTTGCAGTCCTTTCAGTACACTTTGGGTATCCTCTATAGAAAAACTAATTAAAACACATAAGAAGTTTGAAAATACGTGTGGAGGAGAAGAGAAGGAGAAGAGGTAAGGGGATAAGGGCACCAGATCATTGATGTTAGTGAGAAAATGACAAAAATATGGTTGGACACCAAATTTGAAATAGTCTTTTTAATATACTGCCAAGTAGTTTCCTCAAGTTAACTAAAAGTGAGTACTGTTGATATATCTAATAAAATCTGGTCGTAAAATTTAACGGGAACTATAAATAAATAAAAAGATATAAAGGGAACTCATAGTTGGAGGTGCAATTTTTACGGTTTCTGTTATTTTGGTCTACTAGTTTTTGGACATGTGCGATGCATGTATATTCCCTGTCAATCAATACATAGCTTGTTCCCGAAAAATAGTATAGTAACTTATTAACTGCATACAAATTCTAGTATATTTTGAGTTTGAAATAGAACTTATGTATAGTATACAAAATGCTAATTGTAGTTATATTCTTATACACTACAACATTTTAGGCTTACAACCATACTAATTTAGGCAATGCTCAAAGAGTGTTGCCAAAAGCATCTATAGGAGCACTTTTTAGGCGTGACCTTTGAGTAGAGTTTTTGGCTACGGGTTTTAAGGTAACATTTATAAAGCGTTCCGTAATCGTAAAGATAATATTTTCTAAGTATTGCCTAAATAGAAAATTTTTGGCCATGCTTTTTAATTATATTGCAACGTTTTTGGATAGTTGCTATATTGTCATACAAAATGCAACCCTTTACAAGCGTACTCTAAAAATTCCTTATAAAAAATTTTCCACCAAAATTACACTTAATATTCTGCCAATTTTCATAAGTCCAAGATCGAATAGTGCTTGGAAAACCCTATAGGAATAAGTAGCAAAACAGTTTCCACGCCACCGCTGCTCCAATACCCTCAATCGATGCTTCTATTTCTTCGTTGCTTCATCCTTGGTTGCTGCTCTTCTATTGCTTTTAGAATTGTAAGTTCTCAGGCTTTTAGAAATAGTTATATTATAGCCATCTCTGTTTTCTTTAACTTTCTAATCCCAAGAAAGAAAGAACTGGAACAAGCCTCTACAAAATAAATTTAGATAAAACTCATCTCATGAAAAAGTCTCTAATCGGTATTCTTTACTTTTCCAATTTATGATCTTGCCTTTTGACGATCATCATCTTTTTAAGTAGTTATTGTTTTTGTTGCAAAAAGTTATATTTCTTGATAAACTATTTAAAGTTCACTTTGTAAATAATAACGGTAGAAAAGAAAGTATAGATTCCTGTAGCATGATGAATAGCAAACGAAGATAATGTAGTTAGGTAAGTATCACAGTCATTGCTTAGAAACTAAATTATTCCATATTTTTGAATCCACTTTTTTGCCTCATAATATATGTTTCTTATTAATTATTCTAGCTGTACTGCAACTGTACCAGCTTAATTGACAAAAAAAGGAACAAAACCCTCAACCCTCTACAACCAAAGAAATGCAAAGATAAAATTAATTTAAAAGCCTTGTGTTATTGATTTTACTAAATTGTGAATTTGGGTATTCTCAATTTCTAAATTTTTATATTGTTCACCTTCATTTTTTGCAAATTCAGTGTAGTTATATAGTTGATTGTTTATTTAAAGTTATCAGGTTTTAGCACTTTTAATATCCTTTTTTCATGTATATTCACTTCTTAATCTGGTCCGAAAATACGGTTTGATGGATATATGGTCCTATGTGTACCTAAGAGATGTTGAAAAAAATAATCTAGTTAGCAGGTATGTGTTCTTTAGACACTTGAAACGAAAGCTCAAAAAAGATACTATTATTAAGAGCTCCTAGATCTTTGCTAATAAGACAAGTTGAAGTTTCTCAAAAGAATTCATAGTTGGGAAAGAAACTTGATTTACCCTGACCAAGAAATAATTAGACAAATTGAAACTAAATCACATTTCTCTTAACCAGGTAATATATCTTAACTAGACTATTCTGAAAGGAAGTGTGGTTTCTTTTCTTTTATACAGTTGATAATTCAAGTATAAGGGAAGATCAATTAGAGATTGTCAGTCCTTTTTGGTTCTCAGCAAAGAAATTCAATGTGTTAATAATTTCTAGTGTTAATTGTCTCTTCCTCTAAATGATAAGACAATATGACCATTTCCTCTTTATAAGTGTTGCTTTTAACAGTTTCCAGTGCAACATTCATTTACAATAACCCCTGAAAATATTTCATGCCTTTTGTAGGAAAAATTACAAGTTAGTTTAAGTTATTTTAGTGTTCAATCTATCTTGACTTGTAAGTGATGTGCAGTAATATTTTTTTGACAGTCTGAATTTCAGAATCGTCAAAGTTCCGGAGAAACAGCAGATGATGCATTTAGGGCTGTGTTTGTAAAGGAGCAGCCTGGTCGGGTTAGATGCTATAGTAGATCGTCACTCTCTGAAAAAAGATGAAGAAATCACCAAGCTTAAACAAAAGCATGCCAATGGAATGACTTCTCTGAAAGAAGAAATGAAGGAAATGATGAGAGAAGAAATGTGATGTTTTCTTAGTCAGTTGATGCAAAACAACCCTGGACTGAATTTTCATGATATACAAGGGTGTGCTGGATCTAATATTCCTTCACCAGTTGATGCAAGTAGTGCAGGAGCTATAAGAGGCCAAAATCTACCACATTCTTGTGGCTCAACTCATGCTCCGAGTCTTGAAAAGGTATTTATATTTCATACTTCCAAAAACTACCTCAATCTTAACTTAAATCATGCTTTTCTAAATTATTTGCTTTTGATGGTTCTGTTACATGATAACGCTAGTACAAAAAGAATCCTAGCGGCAATAATAATGGCTGCAAAATAAGTTCATTTTCCTCTTGTTAAAAGAAAAGGACACGTGATTCTTTGTTAACAAAGCATCAGTTGGTGCCAAATTTTACCACACGAAACTATTAACTCTTTTCAGCGAAACACTATCTAGTTAAGGTATTTGGTTATGGAAAGAATTCAACTTTAGTTAACGAGCTTCTGTTTGATATCTACCATCAATATAATTTCTCTTCATTAGATGTTTTCAACTGAAACATGTTAGTGTTTCAGTGGAAGGCCCTTGTTATCTGTCTATTTTGTAGTGAGTTTAATCGTTATTGTTATTAAATTTAGTGATTGTTGCGATTCTACAAGGAGATAATTTTTTTGTCTTTGAACCTAATGATATTTTACTTTTTCCTGTATTGACTTGTTAGAACGTCATTACAGAAGCATCAACTCACTGTTGCTAAAAGCAGTTCATGAATATGACTCACAGATGGTATAAATACACAATCTTAACCTTAACATACATATCATGCAATTGTGTTATTCTAATTGGGATTTACAAAGACTCTTAACAATGTCTTTTACTTCTTCATAAAAAGAATTTTTGATACTTAGCTTTTGGGTTTCTACATTTGTCACCTCTAATATGGGTAGCGAGCAGTGAGCACCCTCACTTTTCTAACTTACGATTAATTCTTTTACTTATGTTTTGAGCATAAATTATATCATACTCTCTATTCTTTTGCTTTTACTTCTTTGTCTGCCTTTTAATTCCCATAAATATATCATATCACTTCTGTCATTTCCCACAAAAATCTTTTTTTATTTACTTCTCATTGTTCTTTTAAACTCAGCCAAAAATCAGTAATAGGAGTAGTAGCTCTTTTCAAGCTGCAGTTTTCATGAGAGAACAGAGAGGTTACTGAGGGAAAGTTGGGGTCTTTTTCTTTTTCTTTCATTTAATACAAAACCCCATATGTGTTTTATGATCAAAGCCATTTTCTGATCTGTGCCTTTTGTTTTGTGAAGAAAATATTTTTTGAGTCCTTTTACTGAGTTTCATCAGTTAACAAAAAAAATGATGTCACTTTCAGACCTTAACCAAGTTCTCACTGCTGTAGTTCCACTGTATGTAGCAATGATCTTAGTTTACGGTTCAGTAAAATGGTGGAAAATCTTCACCCCAGATCAATGTTCAGGGATCAACAGATTTGTTGCTCTTTTTGCTGTTCCATTGCTATCTTTTCACTTCATTGCTTCCAACAATCCTTATGCAATGAACTACAGGTTCATAGCTGCTGACACTCTTCAAAAAGTCATAGTTCTTTTTGTTCTAGCCATTTGGTCAAGAATGAGTTCAAGAGGTTCCCTTGAATGGTCCTTTGTTAAAGGGTATGTATGGTGAAGCCTCAGGAAGTTTTAATGGTCCCAATCGTTGGGTTTCACTCTAAAAAACAAAACTCTTCCCTCTTAAAGATCAATAACTTTATCACCGGCATGACAGAGAAGTTAATATCAAATCCCCTTTTGTTCTTAATAAGTTTAAATCAACCAAAACATAAACTTTATCCCAACTTTTGGAGCCAAAATGCTAGCATACAGTAGTTTTTTTCCTAATACCCACTGGTCCTAGGAAGGGAGGGGCTATTAATTTCTCACCCCTACCAAATCTCTAAGTAGTTTTTATCCTTCTACCCACTGGTCCTAGGAAGGGTGGAAAATGAACATCTTTTGTTTTGTGTGGAAAAGCACTATTCTTAACTGTCTATTTTTCATTTATTTGAATTGTCTGAAGCCTATAATTAAATTGTTGTTGACATGAAATTCACATAAGTTGATATCCGCCAGCATTATGGGAGATTTTGGTTCACTTCCTCGTCAAACAAGTTCGATTTTTTTTAGAGATTTTGATGTTGTTATTAACAAAATCTAATTCGCTAGATTCGTTGCCATATATGTTAGGACCAAATTCGTCTTGGCTAGCTATTGCACTTTTACATTTGATCCTTATCTAAAGTAAGATTCGCAAGTTAATTTGTAGATGCAAGTTGAGATAAGTGAACAGAATTTTTAAGTAAAATGTTTGTTAATTCACATTTTTGCTTCTCTTTCACTTGTACATCTTTTTTGTGTTTAACTTAGTTATGTTATAGTACTGAAAATAAATCTCATTCGTTCTTAGTAAGATATAACCGGGGCATACTTTATATAGGTTTCTTTCTAATTTTTAATTTTATTTTGAATATGTAGAAAAATGCGGTTGATGCAATTGGAAATGGTGGCCACAAATTAATTTGATCTATTAAAGTGGATGGTGAAGACTTTTGAACAATTGTGATGTTTATTATTATTGATACTATATATATATGAATCGGTTTTATAAAGTTCTTTTGCGAGTGAACTTCTTGAAGCAGTGGCTTATTACTATGGGTAGTAGTGTAGTACACAAATTTTGTTTCTTTGTTGAAGTTTTGTTTCAAGTACATGCATTTTAATTATTTTTGTTCCGTTACTTATTATCTACTTTAATACTTGAGATCATAACGTATTTGCTTGAAATAAATGTGAATACATAACTTAATGTAAACAAATATAATTTTTTTACCACAAAATTGTGGATAATATAAATATTTTAAAAATTACTTTATAGTGTTCATGCCAATCAGCCCGAACAAGATAACATGATGTGACAACGATGATACTGAGACTAAGATATATTATGCAAATGAATGAATATGACTGCGTATGTAACTGCAATTTAAGCAAATAACTCAACAACAAAAATGATCTCAGTGGGTCCCAGCAGAATAAACATATAGCCTAAACATGGTTTCTAACATGAATTTCAGCTCAATTACTCTAGCATGTAGAATTTTCATAGATAAAGACAAGATTAGGTAACTACACAGTACCACATAATCAACCAAATCATAATTCACACAGTGCACGCCCACACGCCCGTCACCTAGCATGTGCATCACCTAACACCAAACACATAGCACGTATATTCAGGGGTTCATACCCTCAATACCAAGTTTAGAAGTGTTACTTACCTCGAACAAGTCGAATCCAATATCGAGCAAGTCAAACAATACTCTAGAAATGTCATCCCGCACGTACCGATCTCTGAACGGCTCAAAACTAGCCAAAAGCAACTCAAATACATCAAATAATGCCTAAGGAAACAATTCCAAATGATAAAGGTCGACTCTTTAATCAAAACCCCAAAGTCAACCAAAAAGTTAAACCTGGGCCTACACCTCGGAACCCGAAAAAACTCACAAAATGTGACAACCAATTAAATTACGAGTTCAACCATATTAGTTTAACTCAAATCCGACTCCGTATCGATATTCAAAACTAAAAAATTCACTTTATGAAATTTTAAACAAAACCCCCAATTTCTCTTTTGCAATCATCAACCAAATGCTAAAAACGAGGATAGATTTATGAAATATAATTAAAACTGAGTAGAGAAGACTTACCCTAATCCATAAAATAATAACCAAATTCTCTTCTTTTTTCTCTCGGTGCACGTTAGGTGCTAACTAACCTGCGCCTTCGCCGGAAATGGGAGGAGGAGGAAGACCAAAGAAGAACACCAGCAAAACACCAGTGGTAGAAAGGAAATTAACTGACATCATCACGCGAGAACAAGGAAAACAAACTGCAAAAGCTACAGAGAAAATGCAAGAGGAAGATCTGGATCCGGAAAGTGACACTGACCTAAATTGGCCAGATCTAAGTAATGCTCGAACTAAATTGGCAACACCGGTGAGCCCAGTCACTCTTGTGACACCGATGATGAATGATGGAGCTAAAGGAGTAGCTGCATAGATGACTTCAATTGACGGTGCGAGTACGAGCAAATTGCAGAGCAATGGAACAATAAATGCAAACTTGCCAAAGGAACAGGGAAGTACTATGATCGACAATGAGAAGAACATGCAAGAGGTGAAGTCAACACAGACTAGAAATGGGGGAAGATCCTGGGCAGGACTGTTTAACGAGAACAAATTTGCAGCTAAGGGTATGAATCTATCCTATATTCCTCCGGTGATACAGGACGGAGAAACTGTAGTACAATTGCTGGATGAGGACATTGTACAGGAGAATCAGAAGTGGAATCGAGCTATAATATTGTATGTGGTGGGAAATACTCCAACTATTGGGGCAATTGAGCGATTCATAGCAAGTCAGTGGAACAAAGCCACGAAACCAGACCATTTCTAGGCCATTACCAGGTCAATCAAATTATATGACCCTAAGGGAAAGGTGATCGAGCAGATGGTACGATATGACTGGAAGCCTCAGTACTGCCAAACATGTTGCCAAATAGGCCACTCATGTAGAGACCAACAGAAGCAGAACAAGGAGGGAGGACAGCAAAAAGGTTATGACCAGAAAATAAAACAAGAATGGAGAATAGTGAAGGTACTTGATCCTAATGTGGATAAAATTGATGCACATGGTAGGTTCATGGACAAAATGGAATCAAAAGGTGAAGTAATGCCTATTCAGCAGGAAAATGAAGATCAATGGCAGCTTGCTAGAGGAAGGTCTGCATCAAAAATGAATATGGGAACCACAAGAGAGAATGAAGTAGACATTTGCAATGTATTCAAAGCTCTAGTTGACACTGCTCAGAAGATTGTGCAACTATCTGAAGCTCAGGGAACAAGAGGGCAGCTGAGTAGAAATGACAGAGGAGGTGGCCCTAAAACAAATACTATATCATGATGAATATCATAACATAGAATGTTAGGGGTATGAATAAAGTGTATAAGCCAAAAGAACTAAAAACATTTTGTAGGGAGAATAATACGGTAGTAATGGCTGTCCTAGAAAATAGAGTTAAGGCAAACAATGTTGATCCAATAATGAAAAAGGTGTTCAGTAATTGGCAATGGGTTGCTAACTATGATGAGGCACCAGGAGGTAGAATCTGGGTAGTATGGAACCAAGCAAAGGTGGAGCTTGAGGTGATTCAAGTTCATGAACAATATATAACAGGGAAGGTGAGCATGAGACAATACAACATCAATTTTAACTTTGTTGCAGTATATGGAAAGTACAACATACAAGACAGGAAGATACTATGGGAGGATCTGAAGGGAACTATGAATGGAGTCAATGGCCCAAGCTTAATAATGGGGGATTTCAATACTATTCTGTCTATAAAGGACAGAGTGCAGGGGAATCCAGTACAAGAGATAGAGGTGAAAGATTTTAAAAACTTCATAATTGACACTGGACTAGATGAGCTCAGAGTAGTGGGGAGAAAGTTCACTTGGACAAACAATCATGTTCATAGTAGAATTGATAGAATACTAGTTAGTGCAGAGTGGATTCAGAAATGGCCTACCATGGAGGGGATCATTATGAATCCAGGATTCTTATACCATTGTCCTTTAAAAGTTACTATCGATGATACTAAGCTGGAAGGAAGGCGACCTTTTAAGTTTTTCAACTGTTTAGCAAACCACCATGACTTTGATGATATAGTCAAGCAGTGCCGGAGAAAGAGGTACAGGGGATCTGCAATGCTTAATGTGTGGAGCAAGTTCAAAAAATTAAAAGGAGATCTAAAGCAACTGAACAGCCAAGAATACAACAGTATTGGACACAAGATTCAAGCAGCAAGGAACAAATTAGAATACATTCAAATGCAGATGACACTTCCAGGAAAGGATAATGAAGAAATATTACAAGAAAAGGCTGCTAGAGTTGAGTTGGTAAAATGGTTGGAAGTGGAGGAAAGTGTTGTGAAACAGAAGTCAAGAATCAAATGGCTTAAGCCAGGGGATTCTAACACAGCTTATTTCCATGACTGTGTGAAAAACAGACAAGCAAGGAATCATATTGGCAGGTTGATTTATTGTACAGGGCAAATTCTACAAAGTACCACTGAAGTAGAAGAGGAGATGCTGAGTTTCTACAAAAAACTACTTGGTACAGCAGCTCCACAACTACCACTAGTTATCCCAGGAATCATGCAGAATGGCTACACTTTTAATAGGCAGCAACAACTGCAGCTAATCAAGCCAATTACTAGAGAGGAAGCGAAGAAAGCTCTACAAGACATTGATGATACCAAAGCACCTGGATGTGATGGCTATAATTCTTACTTTTTCAAGAAGACATGGCACATAATTGGGGAGGATGTTACTACAACAGTAATGGAATTCTTTGAATCTACTGAAATGTGCAAAGCCATCAACTGTACCACTATCACCTTGATACCTAAAGTAAAGAACCCAACTAACATCAAGGAATTCAGGCTTATCTCTTGCTGCACAGTGTTGTACAAGATAATATTGAAAGTCCTAACAGCAAGATTACATGAAGTTATGACAGACCCCACAGATAACTGCCAAACAGCCGTTGTACCAGGCAGAATGATTACTGACAACATTATTATGAGTCATGAATTGGTCAAAGGTTATGAGAGGAAGAACATGTCGCCAAGATATATGCTCAAAATTGATATGCAAAAAGCATATGATTATGTGGAATGGGTATACATTGAGCAAGTGATGAAGCTACTGGGGTTCCCTGAGAAATTTGTAAAATGGATAATGGTGTGCATTAATACAGTTGCCTACTCTGTTATAATTAATGGGCAGCCAGCTAAGCTTTTTGAGGCAAGGAAGGGACTTAGACAGAGGGATCCCCTATCACCAGTACTATTTGTGATGGCAATGGAATATCTGAGCAGATTACTGAAGCCTTTGAAGGAGAACAAAGAATTCAAATTCCACCCAAAATGTGCCAAAGTCAACCTAATGCACTTAGGATTTGGTGATGATCTATTACTTTTCTGTAGAGTGGATATACAGTCAGTCAGGGTACAACAATTCCAAGTTTTCACTGCAGCCTCAGGGTTAATTGCAAACCCAAACAAAAGTTGTATTTACTTTGGAGGAGTGAATAACATGATTCAAAAGCAAATTATGGACATGCTAGGATATACCAAGGGAGAACTACCTTTCAGATACCTAGGGGTACCTTTGAGCACAAAGAGGCTATCAGATGTCCAATGTGAACCTTTAATTGATAGAATGCTGAGCAGGATACAATGTTGGACAATAAAATTTTTGTCATATGCAGGTAGAGCAATGCTAATCAAAAGTGTCCTAGTTGCAATCCAAACATTTTTGGGCTCAGATTTTCATTCTGCCTAAGAAGATCATCCAATTTATAGATACAATCTGCAGAAGGTTCTTATGGTTAGGAACTGCTGAACCTTCCAAAAAGGCTTTGATTGCATGGGACAAACTATGTAATCCAAAGGTAGCAGGTGGTCTAAACTTCATCAATGTGGAGTTGTGGAATAAAGCAGCTATTTGCAAGCTCCTGTGGAACATCTGTACAAAGAAGGAAAAGATGTGGGTCCAATGGATTCATGCATATTACATAAAAGGGAGCACTGTATGGAGCACAGAACCAAAAACGTGCATAGTGGGTCATCCAACAGATTTTC